ATGACAAAATCATAATTTATAAATTATTATAAGGGTTCATGAGGGAGGGAGAGCGGGGAGGGAGGGGGAAAAATGAGGAGCTGATGCTAGAGGCTTAGGTGGAGAGCAAATGCTGTGAGAATGATGAGGGCAATGAATGTACAAATGTGCTTTACACAATTGATGTATGCATGGATTATGATGAGTTGTATGAGCCCCCAAATAGATGATTAAAAAAGAAATTGTTTTGTTGTTGTGTTGTCCTTCCTTTTCCCCCTTTACTCCAATATCCCCTGCCTCAAAAAAGAAATTTGTTGTAAAATTATAAAGTATCCATGTCACTATTGATAAGATACATGAAGATGAACTTGTATAGCATACAATCCATTAACTGGTAATGAACATAGACTAAAGTGTACATAAAATTACACATAGGTCCGAAAGAAATAGCTGCCAATGTGACTTATTAAAATTTGTTAGCTGCTTTTAGCCAACAGTATAAGACTAGTCATGGAATAATTTAAATGAAACACCAAAATTATGTTTTTCTAAGGTCTTTGCGATGGTAATAGTTGGGATTAAAATTGCCATTCCAGGTAGGTCGGGAGGGATTTGTGGGGGAACAAATCATTTCATGGGATCAAAGGTACTTTGAATTGTAAAGTACTAGGGTTGGACTTCATTCTTAGATAACAACGGTATGACTTTGAACCTACTGTTACTTACCTTCCTCTGCCTCAGCTGGCTCCTAAAGGATGGTCATGGTTCCTACTTCAAAAGAACATTCTGAGGACTGGCAATGAGGTGTGTAAAAGCCTGAAGACAAAACACATATGAAGTGCTATTAGCACACAACTCATACAGGTCCTTTCTCTTGATACAGTTGCGTTGTCCCAGTGGTTTGCCTTTTAAAATTAATTTGTTGTGCATTTCTGGCTTTTTGCTCTTTTAAATGTCCACCATAACTGCTGAATTTATTGGTACTTCTGCTTAACTGTAAGACAGAAACATTAAACAATTCACTGTGGATTTATTATTTTAAATAAAAAAGCTGAGAAATCATGGGATCTTAGAATTATCAAGGGCAAACACATAAGTCACCTAGTGGGACCTAACTCCAATAGCAACAATCCTTTCTTATCTACTGTTCCTGAAGGATACTTAAAAACAGGCAAGCTTCTCTCTCTTTTTTTC